ACAAAGAAGGTGAGAAGTTTCTATTTAAATTAAACTGCTTAATGGCTGGAAGCAATGAAATCAGCTGCTCAACTATTTTGAAGAGTTTCAGAACTAGTTTTGGAGGAAAAAAAAGTGCAAAATAAGAAGGAACCTAATTTTGAAAACCCCATTCCTTTAAAAAGATACAGAGCATCTATTTGGGAATCTGTCGTTACACCAAGGACACATTAAATGTATGCACTGAACTTCCGTTAATAATAGCAAAAGCTAGAATCTGTAGTAAAAGTGAAGCATACACAAAAGCATCACATTCTGAATAGAAAGATGTGTATTAAAATTCTCTAACAGACAAGCTATTTAAAAACCTGACCTAAAAAAAAAAAAAAAGCTCTTTTTTTCTGCCTGAACACAAGCTGTATATTAAACAGTCTATTTTGCTTTGAAGTATATTCTGCTTTCACATTCCTTTTCTCAGAAGACTGGAGTTAATCCACCAAATAGAAAAAACAGCCATAGATATTTTTTCTTTTAGTCAGAACTTTTCTGCTCTGACCTGAAGATGCAAGTAAATATTTGTGGCAAACATTTGTTACTAATTCTCCTGAAATTTGTCTAGATTTTGAACCACACAAAACAGGTACATTCTCATAATTCCAGTGTGGCAACAACAGACTCATCTGCTGCCAAAACAACCAAGTCTTCATTGTCCTAACATCCCATGCACACTCTACAAAGATATCTAGCAGCCACAGGGCTTTTCTGCAACTAGCAAAAGCTCATTAGTGTAGTGTACAGTACAAGCCAGACTATCAAAGACACTGCCTGGAAGAATAATGAAATGTGTTCATAAAACTTACTATAAAAAATAAAACGAAATTGATGCTTAGAAGTATCCCAGGCAAACAAACACTCGTCAGATCTGGAAGGTCACATTAAAAAAAATTATAAATCAGCATAGGAAAAATTTCTTTAAAACACCCTAAAATTAAACTACAACAAGATAAAGGTCTATTTAAACTAGCTATACATCTTTGAACATGATCTGGAAGTCAGGAAATAGAAAACAAAACACTGGCAGACATTTATAGTAGAAATAACAGTAATGACTGAAGTAATCAGATGAAGGCTATCACAGTACATTGCACCTTCAACAAAAAAAAGTAGGTGAAATCAACATTAATGAAGTTTCCATCTGATTGACTGGATTTTTAAAGGCTTGGGAAGACTTTGAGATAGAAAGAAACCATGAGGAAGTTCAAAAGCAGCTTAAGAAGGCTGCACACCCAGTCTTCAAATTGAGAAATATACCTCCCTAATGGAATATCTCTCGACTCATCTCTAGACATGCATATTTTAGAGAAGTTTTGCAGTCCTGTCTATCCTAATCTCCAAATCACAGGTTTCAAACAACACAGATAACTAACAAAAGACTTGGTACTGAATTCAGACACGTGGAAAAACACAAGTCCATGAAAGCACCATTGCTGGTTTCTACAAAAACATCACACTGACTGTAGAGAACCAAAACATTTAAGTGTCTTTTAAAGGTAGCCACGGTCTCCACTCTAGCAAATGTAAAGAAAATTACATTTAACTTAGTCTTTATGGTAAATCAGAGTACCATACAAGGTTTAACATATTTGAAGTGCCTCATTAGGTGTCATCTCAAAATTAAAAAGTACCTGGCAAGAAAGTACCAGACACACCCCATGTCTTGAAGTTCAAGGCAACCAGGATCAGGCTATGCTATACTCTGGAAACCATTGACAGAAAATACGCAGCAGTAATTCATGCTAGTTTCTTCTCAAGATTTCAGTGACCTTGACATCTGATGCATGCTCCAAATTTCAAAGTTTCAGTCTGCATGTCTACAGTTCCTGGACATGTAAGCTGAGGCAGCAGGATTACAACTAAAAAATATATTTAAAAATTTAAGTGTTTTTAGGCAAATTCTTCCTATTACTTACACGAGCTCAGAAAGTAAGAAGGGAATATATGCTCTAGTATAACTGCAAGACAGTTTCAAATGTAAATGCTCACTGAAAAATCCAGAGTAAAAGAGAAATATCAAGAGTCATTCTGTATTTACATTACATTAACTGCTAGAATATTGCTTGGAACAGACAGTGGTACTAGCAATATGAAGGATTCTACATACAAGGGAAAATAAGTTTCTCAAACAATAACAAGAGAGGATATCAACTTAATTAATTTGAAAATACTTTTAAGTTAATTGGACAGAAAGATTCAGCTTGATCAAGTTTGGGTTTTTTGTTGTTTTTTTTGTTTTTTTTAAGAAAATGAGTCCTACTGATTATCTCCTCTAAAACAAAAACAGCCAGACAGATCATTTATACCTTGGACGAGGGGGGGGGGGGTGGGGCGGGGAATATTCTGTGACTTTTGACAATGGTGCATTCTGCAATACTACAAAACCTAGTTCTATGTATATTTTAATGCATCCTAGACTAAGTCAATCTTAAAAAGACAAACTGATCTTAAAATTAGTATATGAGAATATGAGATGAGGTTCTTAAAGTATTCTTTATTAATATCATTAGAAGTTGCAGAAACAACTTTTTTGTAATATAAAGGCACAGGGAGACAGTTTGATAAAATATTCCAATCAAACAGTAACTTACAGTACAAAAGGACAATTGTAATGCACATACAAACCCCAAACATCTCATTCAAAAATATTTCACCATGTTCATCATTAATAATGAGCAATGACTAAAAATATAAGTCATTATTGTACAATAAATATCTGATAGGTGCAAACAGAAAAAGGTTTATTGCTCTCCACAATGTTTTCCCTGTAGTGTTTGTTGGTTAAGATCCAAATTTCTTTTATAATTGGCTCTAGTAACTTATTTTTGAGGGAACTGAATCCCAAACCAAATCTGATAGGACATTCTGAGAGTTACAGAACTGCCTTGAGTAGTAACTAGAACTGGCAGTGTTTGTTTCTTTTACAACTCTAACAATCACACTCCACTCACTCATCAGGAGATGTGGTAGATGTTTATAAATCAACTTTAGTAACAAGTGAAGGCTTTTATGGTCGGGTAGTTTTACTTAGGCTGAGTGTTAGTCTATTTTCTTAAAATAAGTGGATTTTATTATGAAAAATAACATTAATCTTCCCTGACAGCTTGTGCCACAGCAAGCATGTAAAACCATTTTCAAATGAGGGAAGGGGGAAAATCACAATTAAAAGCTGCATTGGGCATTCTAAATTCAGACAGACAAGGGTCTGGGAGCAAATTAGGACTACAGAGGCAAAGATGACAAAGTGAGAACTTTGAATTCTAAAATATCCTTAATATAGTAATCTAAGAAATCAGAAAGAGCTCTGCATCTTTATATGGCTCCACTTTTTGAGCTTTCAAAAAGGGCCAGACAGTGAGTTAGCTGTTTTCCTCACCTTGCACTTGCATCAACTAGTTTCCATGACATGATGCAGGATGTGAGGGATACTAGTTTTGCTCTTGAAAGTAGACATACTACCTTGCTCAGAATTATTTTTAGTTTGTACAAAATATTATTTTATACACTCATTGAAGAAGTATTACTTTCCTTCATTACTGCATACTTTTCCTAAGAGTACCTTTTTATGAGTAAGATTTCATGAAAACGAAGCATTACAGTAGTTGTAGAAAAGATAAATTTAAAAGAAAAGGCAAGCTTTGAAGTGAGTTCTTGTAGCAGTAACTGAGGTTTTAATAAAAACTGTAATTTATGAGAACAACACCAAATTTACAAAAACCTCAACTAGTCAATTTTAACTGCACTGGGAATAGTCAAACCTAATTCAAGAAAAGGTATCTAGAGTGAATACAGCTTAAGAAATTTAGCTGTTAAACCACAAGATGAATATTCAGTAAACTCCACTAACACTTGAATTCAACAGAATCGGGAATGATGCAAAACAAACTGCTAAGTTTCTAGACATTATTCAAATTAGTGCTTTCTTCTAGTATAAGCACAGTCTTAGAAGCTCTTCAAAAGAGTACCCAAGGACCACTGAAATTTGCGTTTTGAGAATTATAAGCTTCATGCCGTATAGCATTTTTTCTTTATTATTTGTTTAGAAACTAATAAAACCATTTTCTTTGGTTTATGCATAACTACACTGGACTAGTGAACTTTTATTTTAGTCAAGCTTTTATCCCCAAATTAAATTAATATGGATTTTTTTTTTTTGGCAGCATCTCTCCAATTCTCAACTTATCTCTGTTAGAAATAAGTTTGCTCATACCATGCTAAACAGCCATGTGTGTATACTGGCATGAAGGGTAAGTTTTGTACAGTAATTACATTAAGTGATATTTCCAATGGTAAAACTACAAAAGATATCAACTGAATTTTAGTTCAAATTACATTTCAGTTCATGATAATCTTAAAATAAACAACACAATGTCTAAGCATAGTAAAATAGTGTAAAACCCCCTAAAATTGGACAGTAAACGTGGGAATCCTGCACTCACAGTAGGAATGTACTGCACAGCATTAACATGACAGCCCATTAAACTTGAAACAATGCAAACAGCTAGATTTACCTGGATGTAAATGCCACTTCAGGGTGTTTAAACAAACACAAAAATGAGATAATGTCAGGTAAAAGGCCTTTAAAACAGGCCATCAGTCTAACTTGACTTTCCAAGTAAGAACATCAGCTTCACAAAACTGTGACACAAATGCAGTTTTATGTAAAATACCCTTTGACACACAAGCTGTCAATTATCTATCACAGTCTTTCTTGACCTACTCCCTTTTAAACCGTTAGGGAGAAGCGTCAATAGTAGCTCAAGTTTTAATTCAGTTAAGTACCTTGTCTGTTTGCAAAGAAACATTGTAACACCATAAAATTCTATTTTTATGGTATTTAGAAAACTGATAAACTAGTTTCTTTTTATTATTATTTTCTCTTTTTAACACATAAGTTCAAAACTTCATTTTCTATGTGTCTTTGCAATAGTGTTTCAGCCAGTGTTGCAAAAGATTTTCACTGTGGACTACCTCACGTTGTTACTCAACTGTGCAAGGTATTCACGCAGTTCTTTTGCTGCTTGGAATCTCCCATATCGCTTCTTTGGGTTGGCACACTCATCCAGCAAGGCCTCAAGTCGGCCGTCTTTGGCAATTTCAGCTGGGGGGTCATGCAGCAGTCCTCCAGATGTGCCACGCCATGTGGCATGTCTTGATAAAAGGTTCTGACAAATAGCATAATAATTGTGGTCCACAGTGACACGAGCACAAAGAATCTCTTTTGAGAACGACAGACAAGCTTCTTTATCACAGTCATCAAATTTGCTTTCATACCATACATCCCAGTTTTCAGGTTTATCTGTGAAATACAAGGAGACAGTTAAAAAAAAAAAAGTGAGAGAGAGGAGGAAAGAGCATATGTGCATCTGAATACAATCAGAAGCACAATACACAGCAAACTTTAAACAATAAGTCAGTTTAGATAAACCCTTAAACTTTCTAGTCTAAGACTGCATTTGATCATCTGACATAATCCTGGCAAGACAAAAAATAAGGGAAAAGAGAGAGAAACAGAGACATACAGAGAAAAAAAGAAAGAAACAACAGGGTGAAATAGATAGCAAAGATGGGGAGGCAGAAAAAAACAGCACACTGACCACATGAAATTTAAATTCATACACATACCAGAGGAGAAAACGTAGCACAAACAAGTATAAGAGAATGATTCACAGCTGAAGTTGAGAGAAAAAGAAACAAGCAGCATGATTTATTTTAGCACACATTTGGTTTCTTCAGTTGCCCTGGGAACAAACACTGGCAAGTGGTTTACCAAAGAACAAAAAAAACATTGTAAAGTAATTGCCATAAACTTCTGAAATCTTATCTTCCAACCTCCTACTTTAGACATGGTACTAACTAAGAATCAGGTCTAAAAAAGCAGACACATTAATATAATCTCTGAAGAAAGAAAAAGTTCAACAAAACAGATGGCATTTACATACATGTATAACTCCTTTTTATATATAATACATTACCAAAAATTGACAGTGTCACTAGTAGCATTGCTACAAAGCTTTCAGTAACTTAAAACCTGATTTACAGAAAATTCCTTATACAATAATACATAAACGACTAGAAAATGTTAGATCTCCTTAATTTTTACTACTTTTTGTTATAAAACTTTCACCTTGGGTTTCTAGGTTACTGTCAACTTTGAGAAGAGATCCTTAACATGGAGTCTCATAGTTTTATAGATCTCTTTTAGCACTGTGAGATATAAAGAAAAATTTATCTGTGTTTGGTAGTCTCTGAGCCAACTTTTGGTCTACTCATTTAGGGAGCATTGCAAGCCAGACTGGAAAAAAAAAAACACAAAAAACAAGCCATACTGAAGGATGACTGCTAAAATGATAAAAATGTGATGTAAAATTTTTACAATGAACAACAAACTCAAGTGGAAAAAAAGCCAGTAAAGGAGAAAGGGAAAAGAGTACAGTGCTATTGGAAAGAATGTACATATTCAAATATCTCTAAACAGATGTATTAATCACTCTAGACAAAGACTCTGAGAAAAACTTTTCAGATTAAGGAAATCAGTATTAAATATCAAGTTTGTACAAAGACTGAGAATTGTATGTCCTCATTTGTCTTCTGTATTCTTGATCAACAGATTACAAATCATGCAGTAAAATCCTAGTTAGATACAGATTAGTCTGAGAACTATACACAACAGATGTGACACTCAGCATTCAGCTTCTGCAAGATGCTACTTGCTCTTACTCCATGTACATACCAACTTCTCAGAGTTAATTTGGTCATCTTTGTGACTGAGCAATTCAGGCATGCTTGAAAAATCAGTCTTAAGAAATACTGTTTTAAGAGGGTAGAAAAAAAATAAAATGGAAAAAAAATTACTGGTGTAGCCCATAAGTACTAAAGTAAATGTACTGGATATCCAATACATGAAGGTTTTCTTGGTAGGCTCAGTCGATTTTAATCTAAGCTCTTTAGGAATGTATATTAAATGTAATACAAACTAAACAAAACCAAAACAAACAAAAAACAAACAAAAAAGACCGAAACCTCACCACCACCAAAAAAAACAACCCCCAAAACATACCTCCTTGTAGAAAAGTCGATGGATAGAAAACACAGGCTCAAAGTTAATTCAGCAGCACAACACACTGAGACTATTTGCAAAAGCTTAAAAAAACACCTTCACCCATAACAAACCGGAATCCCTTGGCCTGCTGCCACAGAATTCTGCAGCATCTCAGGTTTCATGTTCAATGTCTCCAGCCCTTAGGTCTGTAAAGTTTTCCTTATAAGCTTAAAAAGAATATAAACCCATGTAACACCACTTTGTCAAATATCTCTCTTGCTGCCACTGCTTTGAGCTTTTACAGCTGACAGAAAGATGAACAAATTTTCACTATATCCATTTGGAAACAGCACTAGAATTACCCATTCCTTCAGTTCCATTATTACAGAGCACCGACCGGAACAAGGGAACCAGAGACAGGCTATGTAACTTTGGCAAAGTGGGTGCTAAGACTGTCTTGTCATTCACAGAAATTAGAATGCCAAGACTTCTGTCCCTGGAGATGTCTGGAAAAGACAAAAGGAACCTCTCTCTTTCGGTTAAGGTAGACAAGTCAAGTCAGCCAGCCCATCTGTCTATCTGTCCATCCGTCTGTACCTACTCCTCCAACAACCAAATTCTCTCCTCCCACCCCCACCTTTCAATTTAAGCAGGAGTACAGAGATTTAATGCATATGTAAATCAAGTTCAGGTAACCTCAACACTTCATAAAATTGACAAATCGGTCAAGTTAACCAGTCGTCTAATTGCAGAAGAAAGTTAATTAGTTTGCTAATTGGTAGTCCAGTAATAAAGCCAATAAAATGGGTATTTAGCAACTACACATACTTTAAATACTGTGCTTGCAGAAAAAGTAACAAGAAACACGAGGTGAGGGAGAAGAAAGAAGTGACTTACTCTGTCTGATTAACCTTTTGTCTGCAACCAGAACGTTTTCTGCATCTACAATAATTACTTTCCCATCTCTTGGTCCAACTGCAAAGTTGTCAAAGCTGACATCAAGGAGGTAGAGTGCAAATTCAAAGTCATTATTTGTCAGCTGCTCAGCTATTTCCATTAATTGCCAGGCCAGATCCACTCGTTTCTCCCATGGTGCATTAAAGTAACTCCACAGCTCTTCTCCAACGTAATTGACAGCCACCATCCTTCCGCATGCTCCCAAGTACTTTGCGAATGGCCAACCCTCATCAGATGGAAAACTCTGTATATGAAAAGATTTTTTAAATTTTTCATTAATATGAAACTGCTCAGATTTTAAAAAGCTGTTCAGTTAAATGTAGAAGAGACACCTGTACCCATCAACACAACATTTCCATATACTTTTAAGTTTTAAAGAGAAGCAAAAACCAAAGCAACATGTATTTATGTCAATACGAGGCCCTGCTGGATTTCTAAAGGGAAAGAATTGTATTTTCACATACACATGCACAATTCCACCCACTATCTCTTTCTGTTTGTGTTTTATACACATCTGTTGTACAAACACAAGTGCACTTCATACCAAAATAATTTTGCATCTGAAAGTTTTAATTAAAAACTTTTTTTTTAGTAAATTAAAGGGAAAAGCTTTAAAAAGTGACATCACCTTCTTCCTACCACCCCTGCCTTCCCCTTTCCCCCAAATGACTGGATTCCTTTGAGGATCTTCTCACTTGAAGATCTTGCACAGAAAGGAATACAGAACAGATCAAGGTATAAGAGAAAGCTTAGGCTGTAGTACTCCTTCACAGTCTACTGCTTGATTACTTGCTACATACATACTCTCTGTGTTTATTACACATAGCCACCTAACATTTTTATCAACAGTATAATCTGTCTCCAACTGTAGCTTTCATGGAAATTAACATAAGAGGCTGAATAGTAACAACACACTATAAGCAATAAAACAAGCAAACAAAAAGCAACCCACACAAGCATTATTTTTCCTACTTCAGTTGTGCTGAATCTGCCCTAAGACTTCAATATAACCAGGCAAGTATTTAAAAGATATCCTCCCTATTATTCATCAGGAAGAAACTATAAAAATATTAAATTCAGAAGCTCCAAATGCATGGAAGTTAGCACTCTCTAAGGATATAATGTACACTAATTTTAACAATTAGGAGATACCACTATGTGCACATGCTCTTTCCTTGTGCACTACCTTCCTATCCTGTCACCAGAAGCAACTCGTAATCAATTCTGCAATCATGATGTGGCAAAGGTTTTTACTACACTTGGGCTGAACAGCACAGTGGGTTCCAGTCTGAATGGAAGCTTCGTATCTCCTGGAATCCATGATGGCAATAAACATTTATGGCAAATTGAGAAAAGAGACACTGCAAGGGAACACATGTAAAACAGATCTGAACTACAAGGCCAGTCAGGGAAGAGCTGCCCAGCACTCAGCCATCTCTCTATGTATTGCACTTAAAAAGTTAAGAGTGCTTACATGCCAAATCATTGTAGCCTTAGAACCTGCACCTCCTTCACAATAATCCTTGATTTTCTCTATGTCAGTGCTTCGTTTGATAACAATGTTTTGATCATTTTATCTTAAGCACTAGGCATCACCTCATGATAAGCCAAGGTCAGAAACTGATGTTGGTCAGAAACACTAGAAGCCCTGTAACATACAAGGAACTGCAAGCTACAACTACCCCCAAGAATACTTATTCTTGAAACACAAACAGCAAAGGTAAAGTTATACTCAATTCACACAATAGGACTTCAAATTTAGTATTAAAAAACCCTAGAAAAAACAAAACTAGACTGTATTAGACCATGATACTCAATACAATAACATGTAAATCAGCAATACACACTGCAATCTTTACTCACAAAACTTGTTTGCATATTTCACATTTTCTGAATAAGCATGCTTCCACAGGAGGAACTAAGCTTCATTAAAAAGACTAGTAACTGGCTTACTGACCCAGAAGGTCACTGGATCAATGAATCCTCTAGCAATACCCAAGAGGAAAATTCTTATAGTTGTCAACTCTGCCTTTTGAAAGGCCCGGCTGATAAACACACAGGAAGAAAAAGCAAAACAGAAACACCTGCTCAGCACTGCAACAGTAGTTTCTCTTGATTAAATAGAACTTTCAGAATTTCACAACAGCTGCAGGTTTCAGGAGGTAAAAAAAATCCTGTGGAGGAATTGTTGATTGTCTCCATCTACTAAGCTAATTCAGTACAAAACTGGAAATTTAATTACATAATGTTTAAGTACAATGAAAAGGGGCAGAGGCACATCAAAGCCCATCTTATGGATGGACAACACAGTTGCTTCCATGGTGCAACATCTCCCAGCAATTCCTAGGCAGCTTCAATTCCCCTCTCACCTATTCTGAATCATTACCTGAAGAAGTACAAAACTATAGAGAGGTGACTAGGAAAACAGACCAGTTATTAAGGAGACTCCAGGCCATCTTCCTTCACCCACAAACCCACTGCTCACCCCTATAAAAATAAATAAATAAATAAATAAATAAATAGGAAAAAGAAAATATTTGGACATTCCTTTCCATTTCTATGTGGCTGATACTGGAGAACATATTCAAATTTAGTATTAAAAAACCCTAGAAAAAACAAAACTAGACTGTATTAGACCATGATACTCAATACAATAACATGTAAATCAGCAATACACACTGCAATCTTTACTCACAAAACTTGTTTGCATATTTCACATTTTCTGAATAAGCATGCTTCCACAGGAGGAACTAAGCTTCATTAAAAAGACTAGTAACTGGCTTACTGACCCAGAAGGTCACTGGATCAATGAATCCTCTAGCAATACCCAAGAGGAAAATTCTTATAGTTGTCAACTCTGCCTTTTGAAAGGCCCGGCTGATAAACACACAGGAAGAAAAAGCAAAACAGAAACACCTGCTCAGCACTGCAACAGTAGTTTCTCTTGATTAAATAGAACTTTCAGAATTTCACAACAGCTGCAGGTTTCAGGAGGTAAAAAAAATCCTGTGGAGGAATTGTTGATTGTCTCCATCTACTAAGCTAATTCAGTACAAAACTGGAAATTTAATTACAGAATGTTTAAGTACAATGAAAAGGGGCAGAGGCACATCAAAGCCCATCTTATGGATGGACAACACAGTTGCTTCCATGGTGCAACATCTCCCAGCAATTCCTAGGCAGCTTCAATTCCCCTCTCACCTATTCTGAATCATTACCTGAAGAAGTACAAAACTATAGAGAGGTGACTAGGAAAACAGACCAGTTATTAAGGAGACTCCAGGCCATCTTCCTTCACCCACAAACCCACTGCTCACCCCTATAAAAATAAATAAATAAATAAATAAATAAATAGGAAAAAAAGTTAAAGAAAATATTTGGACATTCCTTTCCATTTCTATGTGGCTGATACTGGAGAACATAACTTGCTCTCACTTTACATCTCCAGCACAGAACTGGAGAGTCTCCAGCCCAACAAACCAATTCATTTACCTACAGCATACTCATTTCCATCCTTCTTGTAAAGGCCTTTTGGATAGTGAGACAAGATTCGGGATCAAAGTTGCTGCTCTGGAAGCACACTCCTTGACAACTTTCTATGCCAAGTGACTCATGGACCTTTCTAGTTTACATAATGCCAAGCAAGGACTGTTTACATATCTTATTTCAAATAAAGAGGAATCAATTTACTTCTGATCACATTGCAAGGAAGAATGTGAAGTGCTTAATCCTGCAGTGCAAGGGCAGCCCATACTAAACTTTTATTCTGATAAAGTTAAGAACTTGGCTTAAGCCAAGTGCTATTACCAAAACTATAAAATCCTTAACAAAAGGTAGGATCAGAACATACAAAGTTACCATTTTCAGATTTCCATTCTGAATACAAGCCTCATGATGTTAGGACACACTGTTTAATGTTGTCTAGCTACTCTCATCAATATGAGCTTTCTTGTTTGCATAAATGAAAAATGCCTATTTTCACATGAAAGTAGCTTTTGTTAAAAGGGCATGACTTAACAGTCATAAAAACACTTTTGTTTTGATACTATTAAAGGATTTAATAAAATGGTGTGTAGGCCCTACTTGAGGTCATATCTAAAATGAAGGCTAACTTGTATCTAGCTCCCAGCAGTGTACTATGCAACAAGGATGACTATCCATTCTTCAGTCTTCTATCTGTAGGGCAATTTCTGAAGGTGGTAAGTAGGGGTAAATATCCACTAGTTCAAGGTAAGTCAAGTGATACATTCCACAGTTAAGAATTGGCTATTAATCAGTTGTTTCTTTTTTGCTTGTTTTGTGGTTAGCAAAATAACCTTTCAACAAATGAAGTGTGTGCTAATTCAGTGTTCCTTACTTATTCTACAAACAAACAAAACAAAAAATACATGCCTGTGGCATCAATAAACACCTCCAAAATGAGATTTCATGCACACTTAGCATTACTCTATTCAGTCCTGGATCCAAACAAACCAATATGCAAATCACTGATGTCCATCAAATGAAATTTGTTATTGAGAAAGGAATTTATCATTTCACTCAAAAAGAAGCAAGGAGGTGTTGCTGTTAAGAACCTCCAGAGAATGCTGGGCAAGCAAAAATGTTTATCCCCATGAGTAGGATCAAATGAAATACAGGAAAATTCAAAATAGTGCCTACCAGTACCTATCAGAAAAAAGCCAAATAGATTAGTATTGAGGCAACTGTATGTACCTACCAGTTCTGTACCCATGCAAATCTTATCTTATAAAACCAAATTTATATCTTAAATTGGGGCAAATTTACCCGATTACGTTTTCTGATAAACACAGTTTAAATGATTTCACCAACCATACTCAACATTTTTCTATTGCTGCATTTTATCAGCACTCAATGCAGCATATTCAATTCAGTTACTATAGCAATGACACATATCTTTTTATTTAGTATGACCTTGGATCTCGTTTTCTTTTCCACCTCTATCCCTTCCTACATTCCAGTCTTGCTCTGCTTATGCCTTTGTCTCCCTTTCCAAATACAAACTGAACCACCAACAGTTGAATCTGTCAAAGGCCATTCTACCATTGGAAGCAAAGGTGTCTGTCCGTCCCAACCCATCAAGTACACTCACTTCAGTCTCCTCCTGCATGTCACTACGAAATCAAAGGAGCTGGTACTCACTGGACTGTTGCTCATTTGGATTCATAGCCTGACCCAGCTGATCACATTGCCACATCATGGTAGTGCTGACAAAAGGAAGGGAGA